CACATGCATTCAAACATATATATATATATGTATATATGTATATATATATATATACCCGTGCGATTCCAACAATTTTACCATCACTCCAGCTAAGAAATACCACATTTTTAGAGGTAGCCCCATCGTCCATCCTCAACTCGTGTTTTTTTTTTTTTTTCGTCGGGGGTCGTGCAGATGAATGGCAGCACGGTCTTTGGCGTCGAAGTCGATATGGAGGAGGGACTCTTCATGTTGAACCTCAGTGAAAACGTCACTTGCTTCCGTAAAGGTTGGCTACTGGGTAACCGGTATGGTACGTGGTGCCCCGCAAGAAAAAAGATGAGTTGGTTTACAAACTCCAGCTAACTAGTTGGAAAATGTTCGATAGATCTACCATAAGAAACTGTTAAGCTAATTGTTCTAGCCAACTTAGATAATGGTAGCAGCTCCTTTGGGAGCCCCGATATATCTACCATAAACGGCGGCCACGCCCCTGTAGGTCCACGATGAACACTGGTGGACACGGCAGGAGGATATTTTTCTGTAGGAATGGACACGTCTGCATATTATAATATATAGGAATCCAAAGTGGGGTTAGAGGATCAGTTTCCTCTTGGAAACGGCCATCAATGGAGGTGAAACCTCCCCCATTATACTAATAGTTAACCACCTATAGTGAGCCAGCATTGTTGAACGCAAACCCCACGGTCCCAGCATGTTCCAATCACCCGAATTGATGGTCAAAGCCATGTCAAAGTACTGAAATCCACATGTGAATGGATCAAAAGTCAAACCCATTCAAAATATTTCAAAATCCATAATCCTGATAATTTGGAATGAACATCCATATAATTTCCAGCTGTTTTGGATCTAGAATCGAACATAATTATTCTGCTTGGTGGTTTGGAACATGAATTTTATGACTTTCCATTCAGTTGGGAATGTCATCATCCCAACTGACGAACTCATATGTTTCAAGCTGGTTAAAACCACCAACAAGTTATTGTTTTTCACATATTTTTCCACGACCCAAGGCCCTCAGGGAGAAGCTCCACGACCCCGTGAAGGCTGCGCTCAGTGCAGAGCTCTACGCAACTTGCCGAAGACGGATGGAAAACCGAAGAAAGGATATGCTGGTGGTAGACAAGGTGGTATTGATCGATGATTTATAGATGATTTACAGATGAATTATAGATAATTTATAGAGGATTTAGCCAACAAAAGAAAATATAGAGGGAGTGATAGGAAATATCTGATCGGGACCAACCCATATCCTCCTTGGTGCTGGAATATTTACCAACATTAAGCCAAAAAATGACCCCACTGTTGGCAAATATCCCCATAGATGGAGCATATGAGATATGTTCGCGGATAGGTTGGCAAGTGACCTCACTGTGACGTCACGTTAGGAGTGATGGTTGACAAGGGAAATCATCCCCTTGTGGGGCCTGAAAGTCAGCCTTTTTCGGGTCATCCTGAAGTAGAAGTCCTCGAAATGAGAAAAAGCCTGAGAATCCCATAATCCATATTGTATCTACTTCAGCCAAATTACAGATAATAGGAGCTAAGGGGGACTACAATGTGTATATATATATATATTATTATTATTATTATTTATTTATTATTAATTATTATTATTATTAATATTATTACAATTACTATTATTATTTATTATATATTTACACATAGCGGAAATCTAGTTGGAATAATGGGGTATACTTGATAGTGGGTGGTAATACCAACCGTAAGAAAAACTGTGGATATGTGGATATATATATATATAATATTTATATATATATATTTATTTATATATATATATATGTTATAAGCGATATGGATGTGATTGACAATGGGGTGTACCTCCAAATGGCTATTTTAATCCTGAAATGTTGACATGATCATCAAACAGTGGGATTTAGTGGTTGCCTATGTCAGACAATCAGGGGATAGATTGCGGAAATAGCATTCTATAGTGATAGTATCATAATATAATCCGTATGTAACATTGTTTCCATATGTGATGGATATTCCCGTTGCATCACCATCTATTATGATATCCCTCCCTTCATATCCGTATCTCCCTTCATATCCCCGTCGTTACATAATGTAATATAAATAATATTAAAATGATGCAACGGGAATATCAAGGGAGATACGAATATGAATGGTATATTCATGGGGTATAGACCCATCAGGAGCCATATAAATATATTATGTAGATATATAGTACAACACCAACCACAATGGGGACATTCAATAATATAATAAGGATATACGGTACATATAATGACATAATTGACCCATGGACATCCGCAAGGCGCGGCCCCAGTTTGTTCGCTAAGTTGGCAAGCATAACTCATCATAACTCCATGTTCTTGAACACAATATATCTACAGTAGGTGGTGAAGGGCGTGCCTGTTGCGTATGACGATGCCGTGACGATTTTCCAAAAGGCTTTTTGCTGGCAGCTCCACTTCTTTAACCGGACACGGAGTTCCATGGGGATCTGCAAAGTGGGATTCGTTTCTTTGATATGCAATCCTTCTATCCAAACATGGTTTGTAAATCCGGAGTTCCAGTATGATCTCTAGGATTGTTCTGGATAAGGAGTTCCGTGGCAATTTGCACAGTCGGAATTGTTATTTCATGTGCAATCGTTGTGCCCAAACATGAGTTGGCCGGGGTTCCATGCGGTTGCAGCAAGGTTTTTGCCCCGGCGTTGCTTTCGCCTTCAACCTTTGATGGGAAACCACCTTGTGATGGGAACTGTCAAACTGGGATTCAACCCAGTGGTCCTTGTTTTTTGCCTTGTGTGGCAGGGATAAGTCAAGTAAACTGAGTCAGGTTTGGCCTTTGATTCGTAGTTCTTTGTAATGATTTATACTGCTTGAAGTTTCGTGCTATAAATGTGGTGAAATATACTTAACAGCTATGACACAAGTGATGTTGTGATAGCTGGCTTGTAACGGCTATGTTCATGTTCTTTAAGTCTCTGAGATGTGAATTTGCAAACTGATTTCAAGTAAAGGTAAGATAAGTGGTTAGGAAAACGGTCTTAACCAAGAACAATGGGAATCAAACCATGAATCCAGCTGACTACGGCTAGTAACTTAGTGGATGTTAGTATTAGTATATAGCTGCTTGAAAGACATCCTGTATGTACAGGGAAAAATATGGTGTGTTTTTTTTTGGGATTATAATTTGTAACCCAGTGTGAGTAGTCATCTACAGGCTCGCGGTGTCATCCAGCAAGAAGATTCCTATATGTTCCTATGGTATAAGTCGACAAGATGCCCGGGGGTACCAAATTTGTTTCCAGAGTGAAATCGTGCACTCAATATTTGATATACAATAATATACACCTTGAGCCATGCAAAGTGTCGGGTCGCAAAGCATCCAGACACATGGTATGGACATCTGCTGAATCGAGAGAAATCACTGCATAGACGTGAGTACAACAGCTGTGAATTTGGCCATAGGATGGGTTCAATACATATAAGATCTGCAGACAACACCAATAATCATGAGGATACATCCTAGACAAAAGGTGCATAGGTTTATGCACCACAGATTTACGCTTGACAGTGCAGTACATACATTCCTGGAGACGGATTTTCTTGTCACGGGACCTTTTGTCAGGGTTTCTTTAGTCATTTGAGGGAAGGCCTGAATGCGTCAAGCATGAGGTTTTCACAGTTTCTCCAAGTTTAGGATACCAGGATATCAAGTGAGACTGGGATACATGCTGGTCGCCAGGTTATACCTTTCGATAACTTCCGCTCAACAAAAAATGAAACCATCAGAATACAGTAGTTTATCTATTATATGTTATCATATTAATTCATATTATAGTATCATGTTTTTTTCACCCAAAGATTACCCTCCGGTAATCAAGCATAGCAATGGACAATCGGCCATCTATAGATGATTTTCCCAGCTGGAAACCTCCATTTAGTTCGGGGATCTCCCATATTTCCCCAGCTAGAAACCTTCATTTCTAGATTCAGATGATTTTCCCATTTTTTCTCAGCTAGAACATGCTAAGAACCCTCCATGTTTGATGACCAGAGGGTAAGCATCTTCGATCCAAAAACCTATGGAGAGTCTCGTGAGATTGCCCTTCTGAAAACAAACACAGATATGGAACATCAACCAGACACGTGGACCAATGCGGGAAACAACCATGGATTTACGATGATGTGCATCGTTTTTGGGATGTTTAACTATGATTTACTTCGATTTTTGGTATTTTTCACTGGTGTTGTTGATTTACTTTACGGCCTGTCGACGTCAAACCTGGCGCCCAGGAGCGCTTTGGCCTGGCTGGGCTCTTTCCCAGTTGGTGGTCCTGGCTCAATCGCGCGCGAGCGGATCCTGGGACGACGTTGGACCCTGAAAGATCACCCCATATTTTGAGTGGAGATTACCCTCTGTTAAATTAATATAGACCCTGGCAGATAGGGGTTGGAAGATGAGTTTCAACTAACAAATGGTGATTTTCAGGGTCTATGTTAATTTACCAGAGGGTATAGTCATTTACAATCTGAACCCCTGATGAATGCCAGGGTCATGTTAATTTAATGGAGGGTAACGGTTAGAACGGTTGGAAAACTGGCTCAGAAAACCTCGTTGAAGTGATTTTTTGAGCTTATAGTTTTAGGAGTTATCATCCCAAGAAGTGTTAAGGGCCTTTAGAAGTAGCCTCCAGTCAACATTATACATCGGGGGCTTTAATTAAAAGGACAATCATGATACAATACAGGAAAATCCACTGCAAATGGAGATTTCATTAGGAACATCAATGTCAACTATAAAGCCGGATTTGCTGAAGATGATTGCTTGTTTTCCCAATGGGAGTTCCACTACTTAGAGAAATCTATTGGGATTTTTTTGGGGGGCTTCCTGAAGCAAATCCAAGTAAAGTCATGGCTTTCCGGAAATGATCCACTTAAAATCTGGTGGATTTTCCATGGTTTGTTCATATCTATGTGAATTTTTCAGGCCAATAGGAAAAGGATGTTTTTTTAGTGGAGTTTGAGGAGCCCCTTCCAGCCTTGTTTGGCCTTGTTCGAGGGAGCTTAAGATATTTTAAGATGTATGTAATCTGAATTCTAGGTGCTGGATGATGTAAACATATATGTAAACATATATGTAAACATATTTAAAGTATGTTAGTTGAAATCAGGATGTGGTGCGCATGACTTCTGGCAACATGGTACTGGTGCTGAGATCATCCTGTGGCACTGGTCATCTTTCATCAGAATCTGATGTGATTTTTCCGAGGACCTGTCCATCTACATTCAGGTATCTTGGCATTTTTCAAGGCTTTTGAAAAAGGCATTCTAGCTGGACATCCCTAACCACAAAATTACGATTTCAAGAGGAAGCGGGGATAATCGGTGAAGTCACATGGTATGAGATGGTATGAGGCATGTTGCGATTCCATCTGAAACTGACAAGTGACAAAGTCGCGCATGGTAGAATGGAGATGCTGGGAAGCCATCGCTCGGATGTTTACCATGGCATCATGTAGATGACTAGGGTGCCAGTAACATCGGTGTTTCCCCTTTTTGCTGAGGTATGTAGGTTACATGATGTTACATGTGGGTACAGCACATGCGTCAGAGGTTACCATCCAACGTAGCCTATTTTTTGTTTTGCTTTCTGTTTCTACTGCTTGCGATCTTAAAGTTTCAAATTCACGGAAAAGTGAACAATTGAGGATAAGAGGTCCTCAGGTGGGTTTGTTTGAGAATAAGGTACCACCAAGTTTGATGTTCTACCATAATTTCCCCTAATAACTATGGCATTTGTGGCTCTGCAAATCAAAAAGTAAAAGCACAAACAATATGAGAAAAGCAGAAGGTATCTTCCCTTAGAACCTTATTGTCTTCAGCGAAAACTGCCATTTCTCATGGGTAAATCCCCCCAGTGCCTGATGACGTCAGGATTACCTGGAGCAACTGGCACTGGCGATGGGTCAAGAGGCGGGCTGAAACTGTGGATTGGTGTCAAAATCGATAGGAAACCCATGGTTTTTGACGTGTTGCTTAGTAACAACATCTAACAACTGTAACGGTGTTCCCTTGGTTTCCTGTAAGTTACGTCCCTTCAATAAGATCGTACTCTATGAATTTCTGGTTTAGAAGGTCACATGTCCTGCTAAACACCTTCAAGTATCTACAAATTCCATCAATTTCCCTCAATGTCACACTGATTGGAACGGGGGAATCGGTACCAGTTCCCTAGCAGCGATGATCATATGGGGGATATAACGAACTAGTTACTGGTGTGAAAAAACATTCATAAACCAACTTATATCTACAATACTCGAATCACCAGGGTTTAGATGTTTAGACAATGATAGATAGATCGAACAAGTTCATGGGAATTGACAGACATGACTGGGGGGCACCAGCTCGTGATGCCCGTTCATCAACTATGGTGTAGAGAAAAAATCCAAGGTTGATGACATGAAGCGGATACTGCCGAATCGGTGCGTGACAGTGGCCTTGTTGACCCCTTGTGGACCCATGGTGTTTGGAATATTTGACCTGTTTGGGATGATTGTTCAAAACGAAAAAACGTGGATATGCACTATCCAAATGATTATGTTCCCATGACATATATCGTTATATTCAGTTTTATATAGCTATATATAGTTATTATATATAGTTATATATATAGGTATATATATATATATATTTTAAGGTTATATATAGTTATATATAGTTATAGTTATATATATATTGTTTTATATATTTTGCGTTATTTAGTTTCATAAAGTTTTATATAGTTATATATAGTTATGTTTACTTCTATATAGTTTTTTTTTAAATATATATATATATAGTCATGTACATATATATATATAGTTTCTTATAGTTAGATATAATTTTATTTATAGTTGTATATATAGTTGTATATATAGTTGTATATATATATAATTATTTATATAGTATATATGATTATATTTTTAGTTATGTATAGTTATACATATAGTTATATATAGTTTTAAATAGCTATTTCTAGTTATATATAGTTTTATTTAGTTATGTATAGCTATATATAGTTATAGATAGTTATATATAGTTTCTAGAGTTATAGATAGTTATTTATAGTTATACATAGTTATATTTAGTTATATATAGTTATATCTGTAGTTATAGATATAGCCATACATAGTTATATATAGTTATATACAGCTATATTTAGGTATATATATAGTTATATAAATATAGTTATATAAATTTAATTATATATATAGTTATTTATATAGTCATTTATTTAGTTATATCTATAGTTATATATAGTTTTTATATATATATATTTATAGCCATACATAGTTATATATAGTTATATACAGCTATATTTAGGTATATATATAGTTATATAAATATAGTTATATAAATATAATTATATATATAGTTTTTTATATAGTCATTTATTTAGTTATATCTATAGTTATATATAGTTTTTATATATATATATATATTTATAGCCATACATAGTTATATATAGTTTTATATATAGTTATATATAGTTATATATATATAGTTATCTAAAAGTGTATATAGCTATATGATTATATATAGTCATCTTTTCATGTATATATATAAATATATATATATATGTTTGTATACGGTATATTTCCCGTGATATCTCCACGATATCCCCGTGTTTAACGTTTCAAACTTGTCGCGTGAGGACTTTCCTTGGTCGGTCGCAGAGCTGGTCCATCAGGTGCTTCTGGAGGCACCACTCGGGACGCTGGTTGGTAATCCATATTATGTTCGTAAAGCAAAAGTAAAGCATCTCCAAGTTTAGTATAAATAGGTTGTTTTACAGCACGATCATATGGGTGGATTACTATTGTTTTTTCAACATTAAAATATATACAAATATGTAATTATATATAATTATAGAGACATACATACAAACAAACATGTTAATATCCATATATGTGTACAATAGACCAACATACCTGCGCGCAGATGATCAAAACGTTCAACAGGCAACAGCTGCTGTGTTTAATTTCAAAACAAACATACATAGATAAATAGATAGATAGATAGATAGATAGATAGTCATCCCTAAAAAGATGCCGGAAGGTGATACGTACCACTTTTTTAGTTGGGATTTGCTTTTCTGTCTTGTTTGGGAGAACCATAATGGGATTATATAATCAACCAATAAATACATTCAACATGGGGATTTCCTGGAGATATTTTATGGGGATAATAATATATTTTTTTGGGGTTGTAGGGGAAGTTAACCATTACCCTTTGGTAATCAAACATGGCAATGGACTTGCTTTCCCTTTGTAGATGATTTCCCACTAAACGCATCTATTTATCAGGGATTTCCTATTGCTACGGGGTGGGAGCATGATCCCAACTGACAATCCAATTTTCTTCAGTGTGGCTCAATCACCAGAACATGGATGGACTAAAACCAATGGTTGAGAAGAGCAATGAATGGAAAGACTATCCAGTAAACTAACATAACCATAGAACATGACCTATTTGCAGATGATTTACCTATTATATAAATAAACGTTGTGACTTCCATAGCTATGTTTACGTTTTCCAGAGGATACAATACGTTACGATACAATCCCTTCCGATTTGTATATGGAAAAGCAGCCACCATGACCCAGGTTTGGCGCTTCATAGGGTCGTGAGTTTTTGATGGGTGGGGTTACCACAAGTATCCAATACAACCAGCAAAGCCAAGAACCGGTATAGGAATATGATCAAAGGATATATATATATCTCTCTCTCTCCATGGCCGAACCATGCCAAACCAATAGAAATGAAACTAGATATCTGCAATGCCCGGGGGATGACTGGAACCTAGCCATCATAGTTCTTCCTCATGTAACAATAGCCATGATTCATTTGACGTTCAGGAAAAAAATCCAGATGGAGATAGACATGTCTCCTCGAGTTACGTTCATGCCTGCAAAATCCTTCCACTTGCGAAATTGTACCTTTGGTAATCAAACTCAATTGAAAACCATCTAAAACTAAAACCATCATCTTAAGTAGTTCGAATATTGGTTCGATGATTTTCCCATGTAAAGGCTGAATTAGTTCGGGGCTTTCCCACCGAAGCTGTGCTACGAGATGCCAGCTGCGGAGATACCACCTGCTAAACCTTCCGTTTGGGATCATTCGCCCTTATCATAGAAAAACTTGAAATAGGAGTATTTTGCTGATTTTGTTTTCGAGATTATATTTCCATATTTCAATATATGTTATATACGTTACATATTTACTTGTAGTTGTATAATATGTTTCAATGTAAACAACTATAAATAAGTTACAGTATGTAATGTGGTAAACCCAATACACCATCCCATTCATCATCCAGATAGCGTCAAAAACCAAATAGTAAACATTTGTTGGGGATGGCATATCATTGTGTACCAGATTAGAAAACAACAATATCATGACATGTCATGCACCTGGATATAAATAAATAAATAAATAAGTATATTATATATATACATACATATACGGCAAATGCCTGGGCTTTGCCCGGAACCGCAACCACGACTGGCAAAGCATCATCATCATCATCATCATCATCATATATCATCATCTTCATATATCATCATCTTCATATATCATCATCATCATCATCATCATATATCATCATCTTCATATATCATCATCTTCATATATCATCATCATCATCATCATCATCATCTTCATCATCATCTTCATCATCATCATCACCATCATGAACATGAAACCCTTATCGAAGATCTTCAACGAATGTACAATTTTAACGGGGGTTTGGAGAATAAACCCTTATCGAAGATCTTCATCAAATGTAGAAGTTTAACGGGGATGGGAGAATAAACCCTTATCGAAGATCTTCAACGAATGTAGAAGTTTAACCGGGGTGGGAGAATTAAACCCTTATTGACTTCTTGAAGATTTTCAATGAATGTAGAAGTTTAACGGGGGTGGGAGAATAAACCCTTACCGAAGATCTTCAATGAATGTAGAAGTTTAACGGTGGTGGGAGAATTAAACCCGCTTTGAAGATCTTCAATGAATGTAGACGTTTAATGGGGGTGGGAGAATTAGACCCTTGTCGAAGATCTTCAATGAATGTAAAGTTCAACGGGGGTGGGGTTTTTATCTTCCCTACTACCTTTGTTGATCTTTCCAATGGAATGCAGAGTTGCAACAACATTTGATTGGGAATGAAGGCCCTCTGCGCTACAACACCTGGGCAAAGCCCATGCGTTGCGCGTATGTATACGTATATATATATATATATATCTATCTATCTATCTATCTATCTATATATATATATATATTTGCATACATTTATTAATATGGAGGTTTCCTAGAATGGTGGTACACCCAAACATCATCCAGTCAGTAGACCACTTTAGTATTGAACCCCATGGTGTCTTGGGTCCCCCATGCGAAGAACCCCCATATGTCCTTACTTGTTGATTTGTTATGTGAAAATAGGCTACCCCATTCCAGCCAAGGGTTTATCATCCCCACCAAAACGGGGTGTCCCCAATCTTTGGGCTGGTAGTTGAATTAATTATTAATGAATTCCATTATGGATACTATATAAGCAATATATATAATCTATATATTTGCATTAGTATAAAATTAGTATATATCAACATTATCCCATTAATATCCCGTTAGTAAATCAATATATATATATATATGTAGTGGCTCGTCAAGAATCAAGCCGCCGGACGCAGGGCCGGGTCTCCGAACTTCCCGATGATATGGCTGAGCAAGCACAGGAGTCCTGGGATTAGCACCGCGGGCAACATACATGTATAAATGTAGATAGATAGTTGATTGGATGGATGGATGGATGGATGGATAGATAGATAGATAGATAGATATATCGATACTGTACTTTCTAGACGTTAAGATGCTTTTGCTTGACAGATATATGAGTAAATACATTTGTATAGACGCAATATGAATACTAGTGTTACCTATATATTTATTGAGAAAAATGCAATGTATAGTATGTGTATATATATATATATGCATGTGTATATATACTCAGGATACATACATGTAATAGTAGTAGTTCAATGCACATTTGTATAGATACACACGTACCCATGACAAGAACATGTTATATAACATTATATGTTGTTTGATTATATCCAGTATATTCTACAAGGTGGTGCCCCCAAGGTGTAGAATTGCTCGGAACCCCCCCCATGAACTAGTTCGACATATCTATCATGAACCCTAGGTATTCGAGTGATGACATAACTTCGCGAACAAATGGCATCACCTTGTAAGGATCCCACCAATTTGGTTGTTTAATTTTCATGACGTTCCCAATATGCCATCAACATTAATCATAATTCGCTGCTAAACTGATGATCAAACAGTTTTTTGGTTAAATCTCCGTTGTTGATTAAACATGGGTCGAACTTCCATTTTTCCAGGCTCCCATGGTATTCAATAAATACCCAGGGGAAAAAAAAACAGAGAGATCACCAGGATATCCCTTCCAAGTTATCCCATACATCTCCTGCACGGTGAGGCATTCGTTTTCGATAGCTGAGTTGACGCTCATAGCTTGGTGAATTGTATGGTATTTATGGGGAGGATATAACCTTTATGATACAACTATAGTAAATGGATGGGGACCTCGCCTTAACTCGCCTTGTGGTTAATTTACCATATTTACCGGTGTTTAAGGAATAATCGTTTGAATAGCCCCAATTAAAGTGATATTATAACCCCAACAATTACTACAATGTGAGGCCCCCCAGTTATGTTTGTTGGTTTATAAGCCCCAGTAACTAGTTCGTTATAAGTACCATAAACCATAGTTATTGGAGTTATAAACCAACTTAGCTATCTTGGGGGCCTCACATTGTACTATATCCCCAAGAGTTCTTGTTGAACCAACAACCCGACCAGGAGCCGCTGCCGGAAGCTCCAGAAGCTCCAGCGTCTGCCGGCGAAGAAGCAACTCAGGCGGTGCCTGCGGTGCCGGGAGCAAAATGAAGAGGGATTTATATGGCAGGGGTAAACCCCCAGGAAAAGAGGATATCATAATACATCATATACATCGTATACATCACATATATACATCATATACATCATATACATCATATACATCATATACATCATATACATCATATACATCGTATACATCATATACATCATATACATCATATACATCATAACTATAGTCTCAGAGATTCTCAGAGACTCAGAGCCAAACTCAAAGGCAATCAAAGCAAAAACTAGACATCCCGTCGTCCCAAAAACACAGAGCATTATACAATAAAGCAAGCATCACAAAAGGTCAGGTATAGACAATTTCAGGACCCCTTAGTTTGGATCGTGACCGTGTGTAAACTAGCCATGCTTTGCCCAATCCCAGTTGTGCGAAAATGCAATCCAGTGAATTAATGTATAAGATCAATGAACAGCAGCCATTTACAGATCATGTTCTAGAGAACCCAGAGGTTTATTTACAACCCAGTTGGGTTTCCCACCAGGTAATCAAGCATGGCTCGCTGGAAAATACCCATATACAGATGCTCATTTAGTGATTTCCCAGCCAGCCATGTTTGATACCAGAGTCTACCCATTTTAACCCCATTATATATATCCTATCATTCTCAAACCATAATCATAGCATATATATATATAATATGGAAACTAATTAATATGCTTCATTTGACTTATATTGACTATGTAACAATGTATAACCTATGTTTGTGATGTTAACTATCATATATATATATAAGCTTAGATCAACCACCATAAAAGATACTCACATATATATATATACATGACATGTATGTATACACCTATCTCCCCATTTCACTGAAGGGCATCCTCAACCGTACCGTTACTTCCGAGGCCGAAGAGGCCGAAAATGCCGCCGAGTGCAAGGTAGGCTGAGGACTGGCGGCATGTTACCGACCATTGACGAATGGGCGATGATCTTGATATGATACATATATGACTATATATATTTTTTTTTTAGAATTAATAATATTTAGCATATATATATATGATTTACACGTGATCTATATTTTACACATATGTTATATGTTAACTAGTTTTCCTCAGATCTGTTGGCTGTTATTTGACACGTGTTTAATGACATTGTTTTGTCTTCACCCTGCCTGCCACCATGATCCAGTTGACCAAAACACTTGTTCAGATGGTAGACACCACAAACCGAAGCACCACATCTGGCTCGCACTCGCATCCATTCAAGAATGATGACCGCCCAAGTGAACCATTAAAATACCATTGCTGATTAGTTATGATACGGGATTGTACTACCTGGTTTATTGGGGTTATGATAAAACATAATGGGTATACGGAATAGTTATCAATCAACCAGTATAATGGGATGGGATAGGGGTATTTTCAATGGCTTACATGCATTGAAATGCTACCTACTTTGCAGATCCGGCAACATGAGAATCCCATGTCCAGAAAATACTGCCATAAGTAGTCAGAGTTGGGAACCCGGCGAGGACCTGCAACCAGGACTAGGCTTGAAGGAAGCTCTGCCGTAGATTTGTTTGAAAATCAAGTAGTACCCGAAAACCCTGATGTCGCGAAAGGTAGCTCCAGTCGGGCTACCTTGAATTTTACTTTACGGAGTAAAGGGGAGGGTGGCCAGCCCCATCGCCTGATTACCCAGGAGGTTGCTGGATATTTTACGACCGCCCCCCCCGCCCTCCCACGAACACTAAAAGCAAACCCAAAACATTGTAATTTACAGAGGGTTTGTGACTTTAGCGTGGAAAATATTTCTTGCAACATGATGAACACTTCCCAAACTCAACTGTTTTTGCTAGGTGCTGTCTAAACAACACTGTAAATACCATGGTTTTTGCTACCAAAGACAGAAAACATCGTAAATACGTGGTCTTTGGCCTGTGAGGCCTTTTGGGGCCCTGCGCGCATCACCGCCACCAACAACAGCAAGCATTTGAGCTTCAATTTACACTGATACGCTTCTACAAACAGACGACGTTAAGCACAGGAGCCTTTACACAGAGCAGCTTTTATGCGCACATACTCTTGCACAGAGAGGTTTGTGCACAGAGAAACTTTACACAGACGCCTTTACGCGCAAAGAAACTTCTTTTGCACACAGAAGCTTTTACAAACCGATGCTTTACACAAAGATGCTTCCGCACAGCATTTACGCACAGATGCCTTCACACAGACGCTTTTACATAGAGATGCTTTCACACACAGACGCTTGCACACAGAGAAACAATTGCACAGAACAGCTCTTGCACATGAAGTTTTTCCTCTCTCTTTTCCCCCAAAAAAAGTAGGAAAGAGGAATTTGAGTTTGGTTTGTTTCTTTTCCTGTCGTTTCCGTTCCAGATAATGTATGCTATATCATGGATGACACTAGGATATCCACGTATTTTTGTTTGTCCTTTGGATTCCCTTTCAGCATTCTATGCATGGCATGACGCCCATGCTCGACCCTTTTCTACAGACAGACGACGTCATGCACAGCAGCCTTTACACAGAGCAGCTTTTATCCGCACGTGCTCTTACACCGAGAAGCTTTTACACACAGACGCCTCTATATCATACACAAAGGCTTTTACGCAAAGCGGCTTTTACACACAGAAGCGCGCTCTTCGGCCGAACCTGCACTGCTGTCTGAACTTCTGTCCGTCTTTTAGCTTCCTCTTTCTGATCACCTACCTTTCGTGTTCCCTTTCCCAAGTTGAATCATCGATAATCATCACATGTTCCACACAATTTATCAGTTTGTGTTTATTCCCCATGCTGTCTGAAAACAGGAGATATGGTGATTAAATGTGGGAAAATCATGATAAACCACTGGATGGAATGGCTACTCCCGATATTCAGACACCCGTCGCACATCGCTTGTATCTTTTTTGGAAGTTTCTTGATGAGCACAAGGTGGTGCCCAATGGGTAGTGTAGTTGGTTTATAACTAGCATTGCTAATCGGAATTATGGTGTATAGGGGATGGATCAAAACTTATTGTTACTAAATTTGGGAAGATAAACGTCCATTAACCAGCCTAAGGGTGCCAGGGTCTCGACTCCTAGACATGTAAATGTATACATATATGTATAATTATATATATATATATTATATACACACATACCTTGATGGAGGTTTTACACCGAGAATTATAGCTGGGAGGCACCACCTGGTCAATGGGATAGTGTCGTAATTAGTGCCAGCAGGTTGTTCTTTTCTCGCTGGAAAGTACTTTTTCGAGTTGAAAGTAGGACCAAGACTTGGGTGGCGTGTCAGTTCTCCAGACAGTTAGAGGATCTTGCGCACGAGGGTGAACCAAATGCAGTGAGCATGGCTAGATTTGGGGCCCACACAACTGGCTGTGGCTCTAAAATGGACCAAGAATGACCAGCTCATGTGCCGGCCCCTACAGATGTTAACAGTTAAAATTATTTGTGCCGCAAGTTGAATTCGAACATGTTTTTCACGGTTTGGCACAAGCTGGAGGCCTAAAGAACAATCTTAGCCACCCATCAGTCCTTCAATTTGGCAGGACCCCGGCTCTTCTCAAGGATGCAGCCGCGGCGAGAGCCAAAAAGTGATGGCAGCGGGTGGGGAAACCATGGGGCGTCACAACCAAGTGAAACCTGGACCTGGGTGGTAAATTGAGCGGAGCATTTTTTTCACATGAACGAACAGATCATACGATCCTACTACAAATTGCCCTAATTATGTGTGGGAAACCCAATGGCATAAATCTAGCATTTTGGGATGCTTTATACCCCACAAAGAAATGGTGACTTCGGGCGTTGCAGGGCACAAATCGCCAACAATGGATTTGGACAAAGCCGGAAAGTTTTGTCATAAGTGACACCGTCGAAAAAAAGAGTTAAAACACATCATCTTTATCATCTTTGAAATTGAAATTCATGACCAGGATACTTATAAGCAAAACGATTGCAGTACATTAGTACATTATCATGATCAGTTTTCAGTGGGATCTCCTCAAAGAATCCCTGAATCCCCAATATCCACGGGAGCTTTAGCATCCCGCCCATCCCAGGGTGCGGAGGGGCCTCCGGTGTCATCAAGCGTAGAATTCCCAAATGGATATAAATGGCGGTTTCTAGGTGGGAATATCATCTATACATGGAGGTTTCTAGCTGGGAAAATCATCTATACATGGAGGTTTTTAGTTGGAAAATCACCTATAAATGGAGATTTCTAGCTGGGAAATCATCTACGCATGGTTTTTTTTTTTTATACCCTCATTTGACCGGAGGGTATCCATGGTGATCCCGCGACATTGTAGGTCAACCATGAGTGGAAAATATGGAGAGACGCCTAAGACCAGACCGGTTTTCAGCGATGCGATGCACCAAGGGATGCACCGGCACCAGAGTCTGCTCAGAGACCCACATTTCAATCAATCTCCAGGTTAGTTTTTGTGACATAGGCAAAATGATGACAAAAATCAGAGATTCAGACTTCGAGCACAGCTCTTGAAAACAGCCTCAGCGAAAATCAGTGACCACAACCATCGGCAGTAGCTGGAAGCTGCTGGCAATGGACTGGTGCCCGGAGTGCTCGAAGTATGTATGATGTGTTGGCGCAGGATGAGCCGGATCCGGATGAGCCTCGAAGTCCTCAGGCCAGGTCCTCAAGGTCGCGGGGTCGGCAGTACGATCAATGACTACCAGGTAGTTTCGAAAATAAGACATTACAACATAGGAACCAGTTTGCTTAGAGGAATTGTTGGTGAGCTGGAAAGAAGTGCATTGAAATGAATGAATTGAAGAAAATGAATGAATTCAATTAATGAAGTGAATCGATGGATAAATGGACGGAATGAAAGATTGAATGAATGAATGAATGAATGAGTGAATGAATGAGTGAGTGAATGAATGCATGAAAGGAATGAATGAAATGAAATGAAATGAAATGAATGAATGAATGAAGCTGGTGAGTGTGTAGGACCTTGGAGATTGAACAGAAAGGAGTCAAGTTGGTACATGCAAGCGGCATGGCTGTGAGAGTGCATGCGGAGAAGGCTTCTCACACATGATTTCATTCCATGCCATGGTAGGTCTCAGGTCTCATGCTTTCAGGTGTGGTTCCTTCGTCGTGCACATAACCCGTGAAGAACTGAAAGCTGTTTATGCCCTTTTTGTATTGATCATTGATCGACTACGGTACCTTTGAGGGAATAACGTACGACCTTGCATTTTGGGACTGGATACCAAACAAAACTTTTGCCCCCCATTGGTCCGTCCCTTCTTTAATGTGTTGTGGGGTTTCTGCGCGTGCTCTGTTCGGTTCAAGTCCGTTCTCCGTGGTTTGTTCCCCTCGCCCCCTGCGTTGTTCTGTCCGTTTGCCCGTCGTTTGTGTCCGCTTTTTTCTTCCTCTTGCCTTGCCAGGGTTGACCCGGCTCCGGCCGGGTGTGTGTGTGTGTGTGTAACATCTGGATAGATGTAGAACTTCCTTCTTTTTTCTTCCCTCTTCTCCCTTTTTAAATAATGCAGGGGGGTGCAGAGCACAGTGGAAACTGCACCCAACGAAGCTATCCACTTGTGCTGGAAGCAGAGTCTGATCAACTCAGTGTACCTGCAGAATTCTGTTTGAACTGTTGAACAAGCTGTCCTTTCGTTATTTTGCAATCAGTGCTTGTGAATGGCAAGGGGCTAAGCCAAGTACCCCAACATGTGTTTCTCATCTAATTTGCATGTTACAGGATTCAGTTCCTGCCGGATCACTACAATGATCCATTCTTATCTAGTGTGATTCCTTTGGTGACTCCGACATGGTGCCATAGGGCCAAATGAGGCAACCCTATTTGGGGTGAATGTCGACTGAATTGACTTCCGAATTTACACTTTTGAATTAGTAATTCGTCTAAGTAAAGTGAAACAGGTGGCCTTGCGGTTTACCAGCCTTTTTGGGTTGTCCCGCTGCTCTTGTGGTCCCAGGGTTCCTCGCCGAAATGCCTGTCTATTGGAGTGAAGCCGCTCCGAACAGTCAGAAACTTCACTTTTTGTACCTGCAGCTTCAGCTTTTGACATGATACATGGCACGAGGAAATGAAGGCAACAGGCATGTCCTTTTCCTGCAGGTGTGGTCTGGTTTCTGGTGAGGTGAAACATGTTGTGCACCTAATTCGCTGGAACTTGAAAGCCGTTTATGCCAATTGGGGCAAGACTTGACCACGGTCCCGGGAAGGGAATAACGCACGACCTTTAGGTAGTTAGGAACTGAGTCCTGTTTTGTTGTTTCCTTTTTTCACCAACTAGTCCCCATTGGTCCCTAATTACCCTCCTGCTGGCTTCTCCGTAGTGTGTCGTTGGGTTTAGTTTAGGTGTGTGCTCTTGTTTTTGTGTCCGTTTCGCCGTGTAGGTTGGTTCCGGAGGTCCGTCTGTTCCCCTCCCCCCCTGCGCTGTTTTTGGCCGTCGGCCCGTCGTGTGTCCGCTTTTTCCTTCCTCTTGCCTTTCAGGGTTTCCCCGGCTCTGCCGGGTGTGTGTGTGTGTGTAACATCTGGATAGATGTAAAACTTCCTTCTTTTTTCTTCCCTCTTCTCCCTTTTTAAATAATGCAGGGGGGTGCAGAGAACAGTGGAAACTGCACCCAACGAAGCTATCCACTTGTGCTGGAAGCAGAGTCTGATCAACTCAGTGTACCTGCAGAATTCTGTTTGAACTGTTGAACAAGCTGTCCTTTCGTTATTTTGCAATCAGTGCTTGTGAATGGCAAGGGGCTAAGCCAAGTACCCCAACATGTGTTTCTCATCTAATTTGCATGTTACAGGATTCAGTTCCTGCCGGATCACTACAATGATCCATTCTTATCTAGTGTGTGTGTGGTTGTGTGTGTGTGTAACATATCTGAACTGAATAGGTGTAAAACTTTGAAAGTATGCAGGGGACATGTGTATTGATGTAAACCTTCCATGAACAATCTGGCGATTCTTGTTGTCTCACCCCAGTGAACCAAATGGTTGTGTCCCGGCTAAAAGAACCAAATGACGATTCCTCGTGTCTCGCCTCAGTGAACCAAAAGGCGATTCCTGGGGTCTCGCCATTGTGAACCCAATTTTTCAGAGGCGATTCCCCGTGTCTCGCTTCTTTATACGACCAGCATTGCCGGATGTGTGTGTGTGAAACAACTGTATGGATGTAAAACTTCCATGAGCCATCTGGCGATTCTTGTTGTCTCGCCCCAGTGAACCTCGCCTCAATGAACCAAATTCCGATCCCTCATGTCTCGCCATCGTGAACCCAACACATATGCAGGGGGACATATACCTTGTCCAACGAAGCTTTGCATCAGAGAGGGAAGCATCCACTGGCCATCGATGTGTACCGGCTTGTTTATATTATGACGCGGTTTGTTTATATGTCAAAGGCTCCTGTGGTCTATATTTTTACGTTGTTGGTTTATGTGCCAAAGACTCCTGTGATTTATAATTAACGCTGTTGGTTTATATGCCAAAGACTCCTGTGATCTTTACTGATGTGGCATGGGGCTAAGCCAAGAACCCCTAAGTGATCTACTTAAGCTCGGAAATATGGTTATGTTCTTGTTTCATGGCATTCAGTTCCCAACAGATCACTCCAGTGATCTTGTTCTGGTCTAGCGGGTGTGTTTAGTTTTTTTTTGCAATCTGGGGATATCGCAGTGGAATGGCTGCATGATTGTTGTCATGTTCTGTTGCCATGTGATGATGTGTTTCAATTTTCTGGTAGTGTTTGTTTTTCCACATCTATGGTTTTCAAATATTTTACAAATTTTCATGTGGTTTCCTTTATGTTCTACCACTTGGTTGATGGAGCTTCCACCATTTTGAATCGCAGCGTAGGCCGCGTGCGGCACTGGGGTGTGCCCACTTCGGCCCAAGCGGCAGGCTCCATGGTGAGAAAGGATGTGTTTGTAAATGAACCCCATCCCCCCAAATAAGAATTTCGGCTTGATGAGAATATTAGATGGGAGTAGATGGACATCCACCTCTTAGATGGCAATCATCCCATTGCCCCTTAATGTTAGACACCCACTTGGCCCCAACGTGAACAAAAATCGATTAAACCATGGCTTCTGGTGTTTTTTTCGGGGAATGGGATCAAAATATGGATTCGAGGAATGATTGACGGTGTAGAATGATGTTTTGAACATCTTGTGACATGGCTTACAGCCGCTTGGGATGTTTTGAAAGCCGTTTCACACAGTGGTTTGTATATTGATAAAGCATTGCCTTTGGTGACGCAAATTGTTTGTCTATGCGGCATTAAACCAGAAATCGTTGAACACTTGCTCTTAGTGGTGGTTCAAATAGGTGGATTGATATGACCGCAAAAAAAGTGGGGTTGGGGGTTTCTTACACAAGTAACATTTGCTTCGCCCGGCGCCCAGAAGAACTGAACATGTCATCCCCCATATTGTACGTGATTCTTGCAAGGTGGTGTTTTGCAGTGGTGTTTGTGTCGGTTCATAATCTTGCCATGGATGTGTACCGGCTTGTTTATATTATGACGCGGTTTGTTTATATGTCAAAGGCTCCTGTGGTCTATATTTTTACGTTGTTGGTTTATGTGCCAAAGACTCCTGTGATTTATAATTAACGCTGTTGGTTTATATGCCAAAGACTCCTGTGATCTTTACTGATTTGGCATGGGGCTAAGCCAAGAACCCCTAAGTGATCTACTTAGGCTCGGAAATCTGGTTATGTTCTTGTTTCATGGCATTCAGTTCCCAACAGATCACTCCAGTGATCTTGTTCTGGTCTAGCGGGTGTGTTTAGTTTTTTTTTGCAATCTGGGGATATCACAGGGGAATCCCTGCATGATTGTTGTCATGTTCTGTTGCCATGTGCGTGATGATGTGTTTCATTTTTTCTCGTAGCGTTTGTTTTTTTTCCACATCTATGGTTCCAATATTTTTCAGTTTTTTTCATATGGTTCTCTTTATTTTTCTACCACTTGGTTGATGGAGCTTCCACCATTTTGAATCGCAGCGTAGGCCTCGTGCGGCACTGGGGTGTGCCCGCTTCGGCCCAAGCGGCAGGCTCCATGGTGAGAAAGGATGTGTTTGTAAATGAACCCCATCCCCCCAAATAAGAATTTTGTTTTGATGAGAATATTAGTTGGGAGTAGATGGACATCCACCTCTTAGATGGCAATCATCCCATTGCCCCTTAATGTTAGACACCCACTTGGCCCCAACTATGTGAACAAAAATCGATTAAACCATGGCTTCTGGTGTTTTTTTCGGGGAATGGGATCAAAATATGGATTCGAGGAATGATTGACGGTGTAGAATGATGTTTTGAACATCTTGTGACATGGCTTACAGCCGTTTGGGATGTTTTGAAAGCCGTTTCACACAGTGGTTTGTATATTGATAAAGCATTGCCTTTGGTGACGCAAATTGTTTGTCTATGCGGCATTAAACCAGAAATCGTTGAACACTTGCTCTTAGTGGTGGTTCAAATAGGTGGATTGATATGACCGCATGGTCCATAACGTCAGGAGTGGCAGGTGCCTATGGAAAGTGTTGGGCGCAAAGCAAAAGTCGCAAGTTAGAACGTACTTCTGCCTTGAACGGGCAGGAAACCGTGGAGAAAAGGTGAAAAAATGCCGCATCCCAGGGGCGAGCCGGAGGAACGAAAGAGAAGACGGACATGGGACTATGAAGGAGGATGAAGGCAGAAAACAGATGATGATAATGATGATGATGATGATGATGAGGATGGTGATGATGATGATGATGATGACGATGACCACCGAGACAGTGATGATGCAACTGAGGTCAACGTTATAGAGTATTCTCTTGAGAAATAAGGAGACGATACTAGAGTATACTAAAGTATACTAGACCATATTAGGCTATAGTGTATATGTGGGGGGATAAGTGGTGGGTAGGGCAGCAAAAACAAAAATCTGTCGAAGGAACAATCTACAGGTGAAACAAAAACAATATCACAAGATGTATCACAAGAACAACCACAAAAAACGCCGGCAGGCCCGCAGATTTGTTTAAAGCAGGAGATAGCACAATACTCCCATTCTCTTTCATGTCAAACACCACCATTTGTTTCCATGCGTATATATATATATATATATATGTATAGTATATGTGTAAATTGTAAATGTTTATTAGACCATGGTATTTCTGGGTGGTTTCTAACATGATGGGAGCCAAATCTTCCAGGTCCAACGTCCCGGCCCAAGGAAATCGTGGGCGACGAGCTTGAAACTCCGCTCCGAGGTCAACCGCACGAGGCGGGGGTTTCCATGGTCATGAGGGCACCTCCAATAGCTGGATAATTTATTTGCTGGAAAATCCTACTCAAGTGGATAAGCGCGAGAGAGAGAGAGAGAGATATATATATATATATATGTATATTTAGAACGAACTAACTCAGCGTTGATTTGTTTGCTCTGCAGTATTGTTGTCAAGATTTATTTGTTTGAAGGATCTTTGTCAATACAATGAATACAACATTACCATGTATTATCCATGTTGTCAGCATTCGATTTAAACGAATAGGCTATAGATACATTATATGAATATCCAAAAACGAATTCATAAATGTTCAGCCACCATCAGTTACACATAGTTGATTTAACAATCATTTGCAAAGGCAATGCTTTTAAATAGGAAAATGATCCAAAACTTTGCGCTTTTTGGTACCAGTCCGGGGGCTTCGCGATGATGTTCCAATATTTTCCAATTTTCTAGTAGCGTTTGTTTTTTCCACATCTATGGTTTTCCAATATTTTTCAGTTTTTTTCATTTGGTTCTCTTTATTATTTTTCTACCACTTGGTTCATGGAAGTTCCACCATTTTGAATCTCAGCGTAGGCCGCGTGCGGCACTGGGGTGTGCCCACTTCGGCCCAAGCGGCAGGCTCCATGGTGAGAAAGGATGTGTTTGTAAATGAACCCCATCCCCCCAAATAAGAATTTCGGCTTGATGAGAATATTAGATGGGAGTAGATGGACATCCACCTCTTAGATGGCAATCATCCCATTGCCCCTTAATGTTAGACACCCACTTGGCCCCAACTATGTGAACAAAAATCGATTGAACCATGGCTTCTGGCTTCTGGTGTTTTTTTTCGGGGAATGGGATCAAAATATGGATTCGAGGAATGATTGACGGTGTAGAATGATGTTTTGAACATCTTGTGACATGGCTTACAGCCGTTTGGGATGTTTTGAAAGCCGTTTCACACAGTGGTTTGTATATTGATAAAGCACTGCCTTTGGTGACACAAATTGCTTGTCTATGCGGCATTAAACCAGAAATCGTTGAACACTTGCTCTGAGTGGTGGTTCAAATAGGTGGGTTGATATGACCGCATGGTCCATAACGTCAGGAGTGGCAGGTGCCTATGGAAGGTGTTGGGCGCAAAGCAAAAGTCGCAAGTTAGAACGTACTTCTGCCTTGAACGGGCAGGAAACCGTGGAGAAAAGGTGAAAAAAATGCCGCATCCCAGGGGCGAGCCGGAGGAACGGAAGAGAAGACGGACATGGGACTATGAAGGAGGATGAAGGCAGAAAACAGATGATGATAATGATGATGATGATGAGGATGGTGATGATGATGATGATGACGATGATGATGACGATGATGTTGACAATGATGGTGATGATGATGATGATGATGATGACGATGACCACCGAGACAATGATGATGCAACTGAGGTCAACGTTATAGAGTATTCTCTTGAGAAATAAGGAGACGATACTAGACTATACTAAAGTATACTAGACCATATTAGACTATAGTGTATATGTGGGGGGAATAAGGGGTGGGTAGGGCAGCAAAAACAAAAATCTGTCGAAGGAACAATCTACAGGTGAAACAAAAAATATCACAAGATGTATCACAAGAACATCCACAAAAAACGCCGGCAGGCCCGCAGATTTGTTTAAAGCAGGAGATAGCACAATACTCCCATTCTCTTTCATGTCAAACACCACCATTTGTTTCCATGCGTATATATATATATGTATATATATATATATATATATGTATAGTATATGTGTAAATTGTAAATGTTTATTAGACCATGGTATTTCTGGGTGGTTTCTAACATGATGGGAGCCAAATCTTCCAGGTCCAACGTCCCGGCCCAAGGAAATCGTGGGCGACGAGCTTGAAACTCCGCTCCGAGGTCAACCACACGAGGCGGGGGTTTCCATGGTCATGGGGGCACCCCCAATAGCTGGATAATTTATTTGCTGGAAAATCCTACTCAAGTGGATAAGCGAGAGAGAGAGAGATATATATACTTATATATATAAATATTTTTTGTTTGAACGAACTAACTCAGCGTTGATTTTTTTGCATTGCAGTATTGTTGTCAACGTTTATTTGTTTGAAGGATCTTTGTCAGTACAATGAATACAACATTACCATTTACTATCCATGTTGCCAGCACTCGATTTAAACGAATAGGCTATAGGCACATTTTTTGAATATCAAAAAATGAATTCATCAATGTTCAGCCACCATCAGTTACACATAGTTGTTTAACAATCATTTGCAATGGCCATGCTTTACATAGGAACATGATCCAAAACTTTGCGCTTTTTCGTACCAGTCCCGAGGCTTCGCGATCGGTCAGAGAGGCACAAGTGCGCCGGAACGTTTTTTGCAGACCACGGGCCCTGCTCTGCTTGCTGCTGTTTTCGGCAGTGCTTAGCAGCTCATCCCAAATTGACGATTTTGGCGCGCGACTCACCTGAAAAACGAAGCGAATTTTTGGATATAATGGGATGTCTAAACATCTACAAAACAGTTTTAGCTATTTGGGTTTGTTTGGATACCAGACACCAGAATCGCGAATCAAATCCCATGCTTGGGCATGGTTTTCGAAACTTTCCATGGGATGATGATCAGACCAAAGACCTGCAGTTGGGGATGCTTCACCGTTGGTTGCACCATTTTCTTTTGGGTGCCGCACGGTTGGAGCTTCAATCCTAGTTTTTGGGCAAATGTTAATCCAATGACGTGAGAAACCCAAATCCTGTTAATGACCCATTGGGAGAAAAATCCGCAACCCCAAAATCCCAATTTCCACAGACCCTCTGGCAATCAAACATAGCAAAGGAAAAAAATCTCCATAATTTCGTTTTTTGTTTCCATTGAAACACCATTTACCTAAGGATATCCCAGGATTGTCCCATGGTTTTCCAATGTTTTCTTCCCATTCAAAACCCTCCATTTGATCACGTTACATCAGCACTCGTGCCGAGGTGTTTTGCTCTTCCAACGAATCGTAGAAGAGGCGGGTGAAACCGTGAACGCTGTGGATGTTGGTGGACGTTGGTGGATGTTGGTGGACGTTGGTGGACGTTGGTGGACGTTGATGGAAGAAATGATGAAGTCGTAATGGCCCTTTACCAGTTATAAATGTTTATAAATGGATATAAAGGGGGTTATCATTCCACAAATAGGAGAACTGTAAAGGGCCATAACTGTACTGAAAGTAGGGGTTTCTACAAATGGAGGTACCCCAAAATGGATGGTTGTTAATGGACAACCCCAGTAAGGTGGATGATTTCCGGGAATCCCATCTTTTAGGAAAACTCCCCTAGAAGATTCATTGGGCACATTTTTCTGCCCTCGGCGCCCACTCTTCCTCCTAGGCGGAATTACCCGGAACATCCAATGGGTCGGCATTTCCTTACTCCTGTCGGCATTTTTTTTAGCATCCCCAACGGGTCCAATCTCGACGGGGTTGAACTCTCCACTGGTTTGTACTTTTGAATCAAGGAATATTAATGAACAAGTTTTTGCCCTCGGCATTGTAAGCTGGAATTTAGAAGGAAAAACCCGAATTTTGGCCGAAAAAAACGGAATTAGGCGGACAAAACACGAATTAGGCGGAAATGGAATGAGGGGAAATTTGCCGCTTGCAGTCTTTTCGCCAAAGCCAAAGCCCTGCTCAACCAAATCAGCATCTATCATGCAGGGCGCCCAAAACCACATAGTTGGGGACCAGATGATGTTCGGCATTTTCTTTACGGCATCGGCGTTTGTTTTTGTCCTCGGCGTTTCCTCCTGGGTTAGGCAGAAATTTCTGCCTACAGGACAGTTGGGTACATTTTTCCACCTAGCGGTGTGTATCTATATCTATGGAAACCACTTGAAATTGTGGTTCAACAAGTTAAACTGGTGGCAATTCTTCAGACCTGCAAGATGATGGTTGTAAACGCAGAGGAAAATAGGCAACCTGTAGGATGGCGCCAAGCAGTGGTTCAGCCACCAGAGCATCTAGGCTGTAAATCTCACCTGGTGATTTTCTCATCCCGATAGAAATATCGATATGTGTCCTCGATTTCACAGGACATGTAGTGTTTGCAGTCAGCAAAAACTTGGTCAACTGAAGCCAATGCTGCTTCTGATTACTTTTCTTTACAAGAAATGTTGTGAGTCATGCATAGGAATCACCCAGTCAATTAGCAGAACTATTCAAGTGATTGGTGGCATTAGGCCTTCAAGGTCGAACATCACAGCGACCTCGCTGGCTGTCACAAATCATGCTATTCGTAGGGACGATGATCCCAAAAGGTAAAATGGGTGAAATGGATGCTTATTGTATCTTATTGTAGGTTTGGGAATTACACTAATTTGCTTATATGTAATTGTGGATAGGTATGGTACCAATGGTGGATGAACATGTGTGAGTGCAGGAGTGATAAGCTCCGGTGGTGCTAGAACTTCCCCTGTTGGGTCGAAATCCATGTGGTGATTCAGGCATCAAGATCCACGATTCTGGGTGAACAAAAAAAACACCCAAAAATCAGAGAACACTTCGGCCTGGCAAATGATTCCCATTCAGCTAGATAAAAATTTGAAATCTATTGAATTCTGAATATATAAGATAATTACTTTCACTACTTGGTGGTTCATCCCAGATAGTAAGTGGGTTGTCAGATAGTAAGTGGGTTGTTCTCAGCTATAAGTGAACTCACCCTAGTTGGCCCACTAACAAAACCAGGGCTAAAACCCACTAAAATTCAGAAGGATCAAATAAAGTCGAGTAAGATCCATCAACATCATACAAGGTGGTGTCCCCAAGTCATGTTTGTTGCTTTGTATAACTCTCATGTACTATTTCGATATATCATGATATATCATGATGTATCATGATATATCATGATATATCGAACCTAAACCCAAGAGATCTCCTACTGGAATAAAGCAACTTGTAAAATCCATCAGAATCTCTTGGTGTGGCCATGAATTTCTCGCCGCAAAAATTGGAAGGTGCCAGCACCTTATCCCCGGCATCGCTCGCTCGATGACGGGAAGCTTGAATCCTTGGCGGCGAGCTCAGAAGTCATGCCATGGTCGACACGGTTTGTTTTCCCTTCCCCATTGGGGTACCAATGAAACCACCCAGAAACCGTGGTTTAAAACTGATTAATGATGATATTATGGGAATATGAATAGTGATGTAATTTGGCAATCCAACCACTATAGGAAAACAATGGGATATGTGGTGTATATATATATATATAACGAAGAGCATTAAACATCCCCCAGAGACCATGGTGAAGAGGAATGTAGGGGATGAACCACATATTTGGGACAATTTATCGGTTCTTTAATTATAGGGGGATGGGATTATGTTTGCATTGGAGGGGATTGTCCTACCCCCTTCCCACAAGTGTTGATATACCCACAAGGGAATTGCTATTCATGGGGCGATGGCCAAGGGCCCGACCATGTCATGACCGTGGCACATACGATCTGGATAAATCAATATTATATATATATATATTATATGTGTATATATATATATATACATATATATATATATATGTATATATACACATACACATATGTATATACACACATATATATATATATATTCATTTATATATACATATATATATATTCATATATATATAGCTTTATCTATCATATCTATCTATCTATCTATCTATCTATCTAAATATCTATATACATACATCTTATATAAAATACATACATATATATATATATATATAATACATATATATATATATAATACATATATATATAATACATATATATATATATATAATACACATATATATATAATACACATAGATATATATATATATATATGTATATATATATATATAATACATATATATATAATACATATATATATATATATATGTCTCTTTACATATATACATGTATATATATATATATATTTACATATACACATATATATATATATATGTGATATATGTGATATATGTAATGTGTGATGACCTCACTGCGAAGTCACGAAGTCAGGATGCTTAGGATTCGGGTATTGGTTCGCAGTAAGCATCCATTGGGATCTAGATAAAACTAAAACTGGGTTTTCCAAATTGGAGGGACTACCCTAATTCGATGCTGGAACTTCCGGTTACCCCGTATTTTCCGGAAACAATCAGTTGGGTAATTTTTGGTTTTCTTCGTGATTCTAACCGTGAAATATGTGATTCTGAGCCACAACTCGTGCGTATTCAACCACGTAAATGCGGGACTATTACCAAATGATGACCGAAAACCACCCAAGTTTAGTCTACAAAGACGGAGAGTTATTCCATAATTGAAAGCTAAGATGTATCCTGACAAAAATTGTCTTTCTCCAAATATGAACAAATACCTCAAACCGGCAATTTCAACTTGGAAAACGATGACAAAGCATTGGATTTTTGGCTACCAAATGTTGAATCAAATTCCGAAGGGTTTGGAGGCGTTTTTACCTCTTCGACATGTGGATAATAATAGTTAATAAGAATAAACCTCCTTAACCATTATTGCATATCCATTATTAACAATTATTATTGTAAGTTGTTTGGGTTCTGCTTTGAATTTGACTAAGACTAGAGATTGTGCCAGCAACTATGGGAATTTAGGTGACAAAGACACGGACTTTAAATTGCAAAGTTACCCAAATGATTCCAGTAAATGCAGAGGAACTGTCATGGGTGGGATGCAAATAGACATATATTTAGTTATAATATACATATATCATGTATACATATATATGTATATATATATATACATAAATACATGTATCCTGTATGTGTACACAATAATGCATGTATACTGTATGTGTCCTTTATGTGTATATAAAATCTTGGGTAAGTATCATCCCAGTTGGATATGGTTCGAAATGAACGATTTGCCACATATCATTATTTACCGGGATAGCCACAACAGTCTTGTGTTTTTTTTTGTGGGTAGACTAGGAAAGGCAAGCAACAACAAACCTTCAGTGGCCATTTCAGGAACCTAACTTGAAGGTACCTACCATATATAAGGTCTATTAGGATACCCCAATGTGTTTCTTTCTTGGGTACCACGTACCAAGGTACCTATTTTAGGATTTTTAGGGGGCCATTGAAACCTTGGTCAAAGTTAAAGTTTAATCAGTGCAGCTGTGTGCAATCTGGATGGTCCGTTCATAGCATCAGCACACATTTCAACTTCGACGTGGATGGGGCCTCTGTGACAGGTATTGATTGGTTTGATAGCTTGGGTTGGAGCCCACTTTCCGAAAAACAACTAGGTGAAAGAGCTTTAAAGGCTATTATATAAAACTATCTAAAACTCGAGTTTCCATCAGTTTCCCACATTTAAAACCAATTGTTTAGCCCAAAAGAAGGCAACAACGACGGCACTTCACCCCTCCGAGTTTCGTGCCTAGGAGGCGACAGTTCCGGATGATTCGGATGCTGGGCATCGTGATGACCTGGGCAGTTGATGATCTAACTGTTGAATTGGGTCATATTCTTGGGGCTACAATGTGAGGCCCCCAGGATAGCTAAGCTGGTTTATAACTCCAATACAGTCAAATGGTTTAGTCGCATCGATATGTGTAAAATGTATCTAACTGTCTCTGTTTCCTTGCGTGGGATCATTTGGAGGGGGTCGCATCGATTCTATGATTTAGTTGCACGTCTGCGGGTTTCTGATTTCTTCAGATGATCATCCCATACCGCTTTCTGCAGCCACCTTGGGTCTCTGCTTGCAACTGTCTGCGTTTCATTTCTGCGATGGCTTTGGCGACTCCCGTGAAGAAGCGCAAGGTGACCACTGAGCCAGCATCATCTGAGAAAGTGCCTTGACATGCGCTTATGCGTACTGTGTCATTGTTTCGTCGGCGTTTCCCATGGTGCTTTGGCATTCTCGCTGCTTCCTATTTGCTTCTTTCACTCTGTACTCCTTTGGAGGCACTAGATCCTGGTCGACGGCAAGCAGATCGTGATCCTTGGCTTGGCCGGTGGGACTGGGCGTTGGTTTGGTGGTGATGAGCCAGCAGGCCCAAGCTCGGCAGCTCAGCCGCCGCCTGTGCACGAAGCGTCACCTGAAAAGGATGAAGCTTGCAGCGATGATGAGCATGACCTCAACACTATGGAGGGGTGCGCAAATTGGATGTTGTGCATGTTTTTGCCCAAAAACAGGGCCCAGCTGCGGCATTTGGCCGCATTTTACTTGCAGAACACCCTGATGCCAAAGGTCTCCAAAGCCAACCCCTTGTTTGCAGAGTTCACCAAAACCGTTGTGAACGGCAAGTTGTTGCACACAAAGCATAGCCGAGAGATGTGGATCAAGGCTACTGAATCTAACCGCTCGCAGCGGTTTGCCAAAGTCCCCAAAAGGGGAAAGGCGTGAGCTTTACGCCGTGAGCGGGCAGCGTTAAAAAAAGCATAGTGCAAGCAGCTTTGAAGAGAAAGGTGTGACATCATTTCTAGGCTGCACCACCGTGTTGGCTACTTGCAAAACAATCCTGTGCTGTCACTTCAACACATGAAACGCATACTAAACATCAATTGATGTGACCCTGCTGTGACCCCCTCGCATCGATTTCTCCGCAAGGGAAACGCATGGATTTGGGAAAACATGATGTAACTAAACCAGTCGACTGTAACTATGGTTTATGGTACTTATAACTATAGTTAGTGGGGCTTATAAACCAACTTATAACTCGGGGGCCTCACATTGTAGTAAGTAGTGACCTACCCATTTTACATTATTGTATATATATATATATATCTGTATAGACGAGATATGGATATGGATACTAGATATTAGATGCATAATAACTATACAGTACAACATTATACAACATTTCCAACCGGATTTATCTGGTTCTATTTCCGAGACTGGCCGGTGCTTGGATTTGTTGTGGTCTGATGGGATGGGGTATACGACGACCCAAAGGATCCCAAAGGGCCATTTGATGCGAGAAATAGAGGCAGATTGTGATGGTTAAGACCGTTAAGACCCCCATTATCTCTGTTAACACACTGCTTTTGGACAGGTTTCAGCCACTGAAGTCGGCCTGAGTTTCAACAGTTACGTCCGACATTTTCAAAAATGCAGCCCTTTTTGCCCGAAACCGTTTCGTCCTTCAAGTTCGGGGAATACTTAACATGAATATGAGCTGATTGAATTCCTTTGGTTGAACATGGACCAAGTTGAGGTACAGCAAAAACAAACTGATTGCGATTCTGCAGCCAGATCAGCATGATTTCTAGTTTCCCACACAATTGTGTTGATAAATCCCATGAAATTTGCGGGGGAATGCCCCAACTCTGACCAGCCCAAATAGGGGTATATACTGTATGGTATACCCAGAATTATTTTTGAGTTTTCCATAAATTGGTTGGGAACATTTTTTTTTTTAAATAGGGCGCTGCAGTTCAAAGGGGGAACATTAAGTCAGAAGAAGTGGCGCCGCGTGATGATGTCGAAGATGTCGGAACCTCTTCAAGTGCTCGGGGATGGGCCACGTGTACAAGCGTGGCGAGCAGTATTTCAATGTGAAGGTCAAAAGTTGCGTGTGAGAGATCTCTTGGCAGTGGCGCAGCCGCATCCTGTGGTGGCGATCCCAGACGCAGAGACGATGTCTCGGTGCGTGAGTGATCACCAGTTGTGCAAAGTCCCCGTTGCAACGTTGAGTCGGAACTTGCAGCCTTTTCATTTTGCCATGCGTTGCCCTGTATGGCTCCATGTCAATTTTGGATGCGTTGCACAGCGTTTTGCCCTGAGGTATTTTTTCACATAGAGCTATCGAACCATGGCACATTTTGTTGGATGATTTAGCTGTTAAAAAAGGTTGTGATGTTCTTCAGGTTTTTTACAACCAGAGAGTATGCGATGTCAAAGACTGTTATGCCCTTCAGTCGGACACCCGCTGCCAGGGATGAGCGTTTCGCAGTTCCAAAGTGTTGCAAAACAACCAGAAACCATAATATGATGTAGATATGATATCATACGACCCACTGGCCAGATTTGCCTTTTGGGGACCTCTTGTTTGCATCTTTGTATATTTATGTATCTTTCTATGGCTCCAAACCGTTGATACCCATCAGTAATCAAACATGGTTTGCTGGAAAATCCATCTATAAATGGTGCTTTTCCCAATAAGACCACATTAAATAACTAGGATTTTCAGTTGTCACGTTGGATTACCCTGAAAGGAAACCTTTTGTGGATCCATCAGTACTCCAAAAAAAATCGAACCATTTGTTCCATTCCTGCTGTGTATTTCGGCATCGGCAATCTCCGGGAAAGATGATACCAGAGTTGATCTGCACTCAGGAAGGATGTCCTGAAACATGTGCGGACTCAAAGCCATGTATCTATGAAGATGACACCGAACTTTGGCTGCGCTTGGAGATAACTCAGCACCCCCCCAGGTAAGCCAGGTAACCACTATGATATTAGGGGGGTTCCATAGTCATGGAGGTACCCAAGTAGCTGGATGGTTTCTGATGAGATGGAACATCCAAAAATAGCACGGATGACTTGGGGGTACCCTCATTTCAGGAAAGCTCCATGTTGCAATAAGGCTATGCAATAAGGCTATGGGTTTATGATACAAGGGCGAATCTTCACCATTCTTGGGCAGGGCAATGGGTGGTTGGTTTAATCCCCCATTGCCAGATCCACAAAGTCGACAGCATTTTTGGACTTGGTAGCTGGTAAAGCAATTAGAACATGGCCGCTAGGTGCTTTCACTTAACATTTGTTCTGTTCCATCTTACTTGGTTGATTGTCTTCATTGATGAGCACATGTTGCAGGAGGGTATCCGTCCCTATAGCCATCTCGCGTTCGCAGATGTGCAGCAAAAGTTGGATTATTTACACCGCTCTTTGGGGATAATCATCAATCCATTAGTAGGATCCAAGAAGAGGTGTATATATATATATATACATATGTGTGCGTTTTTTTTGGAACATGTTTTCCCCATATATTTGGAATAATAATCCCAACTGACTTTCATATTTTTCAGTTGAAACCACCGACCATATATATATGTCTACTAAAAGGATTCCCATGATGGGAGGGATGACCATAAGCCATATCATCTTTGACCATGGAAAGCTCTTGGAACCGGCGAAGTCTCCAGAGATTTTTCATGACGGTACTCAAACATCGTTTGCTCGAAAATCCTCCATTTATAGATGATGTTCCTACATGTTCCCATCATTTTTTTGGTGGGATTTACCGTTGCCATGTTTGATTACTGGAGGGTGGCAATTTTTGGATAGGGTGACTATGAAACCAAGCAGCATGGGGGCTGTAAAATTTTGATCAATTCCTAATTAACAAAAACAGCAGGTAAACATAGCTATGAAATCGTCAAAAGCTGAGCAGGGTAATCCCATACAAATGTAGCGAACTCAAGACTTGTTTGCGGTTTCATATGTTGATGCTTTCCATTCGTAATTAGACACTGGCTCCAGGAAACCGTGTCTTTTTGATTGGGTTGAAACCACCAACCAGAAAACGTGGATTGCGGCTTCCGAATTCACAATTTCGGGGAAGCAACCTGAGGGTAGATACATTCTAGGTGGACCAAATATGTGTGTATTTATATATATATATATAATTATATATATATGTATATATTATATACACGTATTAGTGATATGTTTTTGTTTTTAAACATTTATTTATATATATAAACATAAACGCATAAATATGATCATTGCATATGTTAAAATACGACCATTGTACGACCCAACTCCTCAGTAAGTTGCATGGACTGAAATCATTGAGATATCACCAAGAGACATGGAGTGCAACCATCAACAAACTTGCAGCAGCACAGATGGACAGATGATGAAGGTAAAATATTGGTATGCAATTACCCTTTTCAGGGGTTAGACTTGTTTATTTCAAGCATGTCTATTTGTCTATGTATATGCGTGTCTAAATATGTACTAATATTCATGTTTCATGATGTATTACTTGTTGACTATCAACTATCTACCTACAATAGTTATATATTCAATACATCGTGGATATACATTGTAGATATCCATTATACATATATATATATATACACGCTACATGAACATATCAATATAAGCTCTAGATAGTTGATGCTAAGAGACATATATCAATATTCATTGTATATATATATATATATGTGTGTGTGACACTTTATACAGTATTTATACGGCCAGGCGCTGTGTGTTGCCCGGAAGGTTCAAATGGCTTTTAAACATGTCTAAACATTATCCTTCAACATGCTCACACACCTGCGCAGGGCCAGTGTTTTCAGATTTCCCAGACGACGAGCCCTAAACCCTAAAACCCTAAACCATCCTAAACCCTAAAACCCCAAACCCTAAAACCCCAAATCCTAAAACCCTAAACCCTAAAACCTAGGCTCTGAAAACTTTGAATCCTAAACCGGAAAACACTGCGTATACGCAGTATTTTTCTACAATCTCTCCTATTATATATTCGACAGCACGACATTCTCAATGTTAATGTCTGGGCAACACACGGCGTCTGTGGGTATATATATATATATAATTACTGTTAACCAATACCCTCCAGTAAATCAACATAACTACCCTAACATAGAGAGTTTCCAGTCAAAATGGGTAATTTTTAGGGTCCAACTGTTACTTTACCGAGGCTAACCCAAAAAATCTCTGTAGATCTCTCCGACTACTTCGACCGAGGTTCGGGACAGTCCGGGCTTCAAGTTCAACGTCGCGCCTGGGCGTCAGGAGTGCCCCAAAATTTGCGCCAAAAAACTTGGGTTTATGGTGTATGTATATTTTGTTCATAGTTAGACCACATAACTATAACATAACACTACCCCAATAGATGGCAAACATAGTTGTAAACTAGGGTGGTACCTTGTAACTGTGTATATATATATATAGTTAGCCGGGTGTAGAAACCAGTTCAGAGCATATCCATATGGCATACCCCAATATGGTATGACATTTATCCACGGTCATATTACCAGCCATATTCCAGATGCGTTTGAACATGATGCATATCCGAATAGGGTGGTCATTCAATGGGGCGCATGATGCCATGATGCACCGGCACAAGCCGATGCGTGTGTTCTGAATTGGGTAAAGCATCCAAGCAGAATCCAATTTATTCCGCCATAAATTGGACTGTTTAACAGATTTTGTTGCAGATTTGTTGTTGCATCTCCTCATGTTTTCTTTTCGGTCAAGTTGAAGGCCTTCAGGACATACCCAACTGACCCACAAGGTGTGAATTGAGCAGTTCCAAGATGAATATAAATATTGTAAGGTGATCTCGTACCAAGAAATCGGGGATCTAGCCGCCTAGAAAAAAACTGACATAGATGTGGAAGGCACACCATTTTGTAGATTACTTTCCCAGGGAAACTGTGGGTTCTCCACATCTTTATGTTGACCCTAGGGTAATCCACTGTTGTCCTGAACTCATCTTCCGCAGGTTCACCTGGCACTGCTCATCTGGGACTATTTTGACATGACATGATGGATCAATGTCCCTTGTAGCTAGCTATAGTTTACAACAATGATTTAACTACTATGTTACCATATTACTTTAGTGTAGATAGCAAATCCATACGTATAGATGTAGATACATGTACCATCCCAGAAATGGGTCAACAACCAGCCCATCGGTCCTTGAGGTGGATAAAGATCGCGGCGAAGTTGAAGTGAAGCCTGGTTGCACGAGTTTTTTTTTTTTCGGGGGATTCAACGATATCCGGCCCTCCAATGATATCTGGTTTACATCGCCAAACTAAGGTTCTTGGTGATGAAGGTTGGCTCCATAAAAAATGATACCTTGTTGGGTTTCTCCCAGCAAAAATCCCATGAAAACTGGTGGTGTGTTGGATTCCCCATTATTTTTTGGGGATTGATGAACACCTAGCACTGGTGGATATAACAACGGTAAACCAACTGGATGGGGTACTGACTTTCATTTATTCTTTGCTCATGGGGATATATACTCACCAGCTGAAAAAGAAAGCAGGGTGAAGAAGATTGACCATGTGCAAGGGGCCAAGAGCTGCAGGTGACAAGGCCAAATCCTGGAATATAAATCCTACTAGATCATCCTTTAGCCCATTATTTTCACCAGCACTTTGTTAATTTGACTGGTGCAGCTTGCCTGAGGGACTTGCGCCGGCAAGATGGGATCCACTTCGAAGTACGTTTCCTTGTCGAGGTGGAAGCGCTAGGCTGGGACCAGTTGCGTGGGCGGCCGGGCCGCTTTTGTCAGAAATCGCGCGTGCTTTTTTCCACCAGAAAAGTATCTAGAAAAGTGGGATGTAACAAGTCATTACGCAATTATGATCATATATTAATGTATATTATAATTGGGATGAAAAGCAAATTCGAAAGTGAGATTGAACCAACATTGGCATTTAAGCGATTGATTCAGCAACAGTCGACAGTCGCCATGATTTTATTGGGTCCACTCGTATGGATAGCAGTGGAGCAGGCTTCCAAAGTAGACCATTTGTAGATGAATTACCTCTTCAAAATCTGGTTGGTGGTTTCAAACATTTTTTATTTTCCATTTCATATATGGGATGTCATCCTTCCCATTGACGAACTCATATGTTTCAGAGGGGTAGGTACACCACCAACCAGAAATTATTTGAAGCTGGGGATTTTCCATGTGATTTTCCATATTAGTTGAATGACTATCCGGGTATCCCTGCATGTCCCCAGTGCGAGCTGGTTTGATCCAAGTTAGAGCCATCTAATCAATCTATTCCTGTATGAAGTGCGCACCCAGAAGTCAGCTCCAAAAAGTGGGGCCTATGTAACGGATGACTCACTTCAGGGATCATGATACCCTTTCCCAAGTCCAAGCTGTGTTCTGATGTGAGTCATCTTGGTGGATCAATGGAGTGACCTTCCAAGACAAATTACTGCAAAACATGATGATCAAGCAGTGGATTTGTGGCATACCCAACATGATGATTTGTGCATACACCCACATGGCAAAGATCGGCGTGTGTTGAAGACATAAGCATCACAAAGATGATAAGCATCGGGTGCGGATAATTTTTCAAGCAAGTTGACGGTTACCGTAAATGTATGTAAATGTCACATTCAGAAATCAATTAGCTTTGGCGAAGTTCAATGGCTGAGCATGTAGCATGGTATATGGACCAAATTTATGGATTGTGGATTGGTGACCTAGTTTTCGGGACAGATTCTAATCGGCAGATTTAGAGCCTCCACTTCTGGTTCTGTTGGTATCCCATGAAGCAAAGCTTGATGGATCTTGATGCATCAAAGAACATTGGAAGATCCCAACTTGCCATCTTTCCCACCCCAGGGCCACAGGTTTTTTATTCCCAAGGGGATAAACGCTGTGCCCCAAAAAGATGAAGAACAGTGTGCCACCAGGATGGTATACCCTCTGGTAATTTAACATAGCTATTGAACATGACCATTTGTAGTGAGTTTTCCCATTAAAAATGGTGATTTTCCATAGTTATGTTAGTTTACCAGAGGGTAACGCTGATATTGTCCCTTCAATTTCCAGGTTCCCAACTTTTTTTGGGGGGAAAAACCACTCCCCTCAGCAAAGACCTTGAGAATCGCTACCGGCTTTTTGTCAAAATGTAGTCTTCCAAGTCCCAGTTGGGATGGTTCCATGTTAATTTGGATACAATCGCTATTATAATCATACTATATTGGAACATGGAACCATATTATACTATATTATACTATATCATTAATATAATGGGATAATAATCATCAATATAATGGGATAATAATAATCATCATCTGATCTGGTTAGTGGTTTGGAACATGGCTTTTATTTTTCCCGTATCTTGGGAATAGTCATCCCAACTGACGAAATCATATTTTTCAGAGGGATCGGTCAACCACCAACCAGTAATATATGTCCAACATATGATTAGCGATTTCCGTCAAATTTGTGTTCATGTTTCATGCCATCATACCGCACCTTTTTGGGTGGAAGCAGCCACCATATTTATTCTTTTTTCGTGATCGATGGGATGGGAGGCGATGAATCGGAAAAAAAACCGCTTGGCGGATACCATGGCAAAACATGTCTCATGTTTTGTCTCATGTTTTGACATGTTTTATCCCTTAAATGGGATGATCTGATAATCTGATGGTTATTCAGGGTTCATCTTTTTGGGAGTTGGTGAAAATCCACCAGAAATTGTTTTTTGTTCACGGTTGGGGGCCTTAACATGAAACTAATTATCAAATATGTTTATATATGTTTATAGCTTGTGAGCCAGGACCTGTTGTTGAATTCCAACTGCGAACAGGGGCGGTGGCGAAGAATAGCTGGCATGGACCAAGATGTGCGAAGTCTTGGAGATGATGTACACTCTGGTAAACATACAAAAAACTCTGGAAAATCACCATGTTTCATCGGTAAATCAACTATTTCTATGGCCATGTTCAATAGTTATGTTAGTTTACCAGGGAGTACATGACCTTGATGCGATCGGCAACTCGGACTTGACCATCCCGTGCCAAGCACAGCCGCTGGCCCGTCCTGACCAAGTTCCTGGCTAAAGCGAGACGTTGCAGCTTCCAGGTGAATTTTGATCATCAAGTTGCGATCTCGCACTCATTTTTCTGTGCCAAAAAAGTCCAAGTATATCAACATACCCTGATCTCGACATAGTCAACTTGTTTTTGTATGTATATATGTGTTAAACACATATATATATATATCATTATCATATATACATAGGACCAACTTGTCTTTGGAAGGATCGTTGCAGCTTCCTGGAATACCATGCACGTGACTGTGAAACCACTGCTGACGTGAGGAGACTGTGAAAACCACGGGTTTTCTCTGGTAATGACTAACATAGCAAAAATGGTCCATAGAAATAGATGTTTTACCAATATGAATCATATTTACTTATGATTTCCTGTAGCTATGTTGAATTATCACAGGTTAAAGGCATGAAAAACCAGAGAACCGTTTTTTGTATTGTATGGAATGGTTCCTACAACGAAATATGATCCGTTAAAACATGTTGAACATATGATTTTTCCGTGGAACCGGGACCATGACTGTACTGTAACAACAATTTGAAACTTTGTCTGTGAAAAGCCTGGGGATCATAATGATACTGACTGGACAGTATACAACATAAATTTGTATCCCATAGGATCCATGTATGCTATATATGGTAACATTTACCATCAATATACCCCCAATGTTAGCATATATGGCATACATGGATCCTATGGGTATATTCTGAAGTCACAAGTGCACGGCATGGATCCACTGAAGTCCCAAGTCACGCTGCAGATCAATCGGCTCATCTGATCTTCTCGACACGTCTTGGGCATATTCGAAAAAACTTCGACCCACGGGACAGGCCATACACGGCGGATGCTGGGCATGAAATGACAAGAGGTTTCTGTTGAAGTCATGTTTTTTTTCATGAGACATGGATTAAATTTTTCAGAGATTGTAATGAGGTAAAGCATGGCAAAACCAAAATAGACTCCCCCTAATTTTACCCGGAATGGATGAATGAGTTGTATTCACCGTCCCCAAAAAGGGTGGTTTGCTGTGGTTAGTGAAGGTTTCAGACCTTGTCATCCTGCGGCTTCCCCAGTGGGTTACTGAGGACTCAAGATCATTGCCTCACTTGTTCAACATAACGAACTGGAAAATCACCATTTTTCATGGGAAAAAATCACTATAAATGGTGATGTTCCATAGTTATGTTAAATTACCAGAGGGTACCTATCTAAATAGCAATTGGAAATGCTACACAGACCTTACACAGACCTTACACAGACCTTACACAGACCTTAAGATCCAGATTTGTTGCTGGAATCAGAAAGTTGTGATGTCCAACAAAAAATGTGGTTGACCATCATATTTGTCAGACCGGGCGGCTCCGCGAATTTCGTTTAACTAAATTTACTGTAGATCCCAGATGATTGCCATGTTCAAGGCCTCATTCTACCATTATGCTAATTCAATCCGCCTCCCCCAAGATAGCTAAGTTGGTTTCAAGCGAAATTTACCATGGTTTATGCTGTGTTTGATAGACCCATGCTTGGATGCACCCAGTGATAGCTGGGATTGAGGATTTCGATTCGGATTCGGTGTTGCCAAACAGAGAACTTTCTGCAGGATTCCATCTACATAATTGTAATATATATATATATACATAACCCATAGGATCCATGTAATGGGATAATAATCATCAATATAATGGGATAATAATCATCATCATCTGGTTGGTGGTTTGGAACATGAATTTTATGACTTTCTATATATTTGGGAATAATAACCCCAACTGACGAAATCATATTTTTCAGAGGGGTTGGTACACCACCAACCAGATATATATATATATATACAAAATAGTTTGCTGAATCTCGGATATATACATGTCGCATTGTTTAAGCTGTGTACAAAGTTGTACATCCCCCTGAAAAACATAAAACACTATATATATACATATAAATAACACAAAAAACACATGCTGGCTGAATTCCACATTTGATCCCATATTTGTCGGTCCATTGTTTGTTGATGAAATCCCCCCCACGGACTGGTTTCATTGATTTTCACATTCATTTTCCAACGAGTTGATTGATTTTATTGTTTAACAAGCCTATGTGCATGCTTAAATCCATCCATTTTTGATAATTAAGTCCACAATCCAGAGCTTCTAGGGCTACAATCCTCAATGTTTGTCGCTAATTCCATCATCTTTATGACTGCACCCTGGTTGAAATTCCGTGCTTTCCACCGATCAGTTAGGAAGTGGTTCTGCCCGGGGACAAGGTGTCGTGCCAGAGGGGCTTTCGGGGAAGTGGGTGGAAGACAAGCGGCTGTTGCTACCATTGCCTTTCATCAGCTAACATGTCTGGTTGGAACTGGGGAAACCACCATCTATTTTTGGTTGGAAGTGCCTTACAGGTGCGGGAAATCAATCCAGAGGACCTTATCACTACAATAATGATAAACCAATTACGCAATGGCAATGGAAATGGAAAACGTACCCTTTGGTAATCAAACATGGCAATGGAAATCCCCTATACGCGAAGTTCTTTTATGGGAAAAACGTCTATAAATAGGGAAATTTTCTTGCAAGCCATGCTTGATTGCCGGAGGGTAACCAACAATGCCCGGTCGTCTCGTAAACGCGCGCCAAGAGACGTGTTGGTCAGTTTTTTTGATCATGGCAACCGGGCATGGTCTTTGTGAATGTCGAAGCAATCACCAGTTCATATGGAAGTAAACATTCAAATGAACACACACATATGTAATCATATGTATATATATATATATATAGATATTTAAAAAAAAACGCATCTGAAGCGTAGGATCCAGTGTACAAGTTAACATGAACGTTACTTCCAAGGGACGTTATTAGCCCCCCCCCCACCCCATCCCACCCCGTCACAACACGTGACGTAGGTGCAGAAAAATGCGCGGAAAAGCAGCAGATTTCCATCAGAAGAAACGCACGTTTACACGTCGACCGAGCCACCAACAAGACTGTAAGGGTATAAACCAACAATAATGGGGTAATAAGGGGGATGATACTGGAAAAAAAAACTAAGTTTCCTGGAACAAAAAATCTAAGACTCTGGACAACAAATATGAATTTATTGGAAAAACAAATTCAGGTTTCCCTGATCCTTTGGTCCCCTGGTCCTCTCGTCCTTTGGTCCCCTGGTCCTTTGGTCTCCTGGTCCCGTGGTCCTCTGCTCCCCTGGTCCTCTGGTCCCTTGGTCCCCTGGTCCCTTCATCCCCTGGTCCCTGGGTCCTCTTGATCCCCTGGTCCCTTACCCTCCTCATCCTGGTCCTTTACCCTTCTCATCCTTTGATCTCCCAAATACACCCTAACCAACTTGAAATAGATCCAAAAACTAGCTCTAGACAATATGCTGCAAATAACACGAAATGCTGCAGATAATCCCAATACAGATGCTGGCTCCAAGATGCTGCGGGCACGGTGCAAACAAGGGATTCAAGGCCAAAACGCTTTAAATACCATGCAAATTGCATAATTAAGTTCCAAAACCCTGCAAATATTCTAAAAATAACAGATTTCAGCTGCACAAAATTGAATTATTCAATGCCAGAACTCTTCAAATATCATGCAATTGCATGTTTAAGTGCCCAAACCCTGCACATATTGTACAAATACGAGATTTCAGCTGCAAAAAGGTTCAAAGTACGGATTCTTAAGTTTTTTTCCCAGTGTCTTATGTTTTTTTTCCAGTGTGGAGAGTAGGGGTGAACCTTATTTTTTTTCCAGTAGTCTAAAGTTGTGTTTTCCAGTGTCTACCCGTAATAAGGGGTATAATGGAATTGAATGACCAACTCAATATTGAGCCATTGAACATAGCCCTGTGGATGATTGGTTATGAAATAGCGATTTTATTGGAATTTTGTTCGCTCAAGCACCTGCGACAACTGGTTTTCAGGATGGGTAAAAACTGGCCAGAGGTAGGCCAGGTGAAATCGAAGGAATGTGATCCAACACCCCACCATGGAATTTATGGAGATATAATGAATACAATATATATATATATACATGATTATTATATATATATATGACATTCCCTAAACAACTGGGATGCGCCAAGAGATGTTTCGTTGCTACATTGCAGCTTCAAAGCTCATTTCAGAATATTTCAGTTGTAGACTCAGTATCATGGGGATTCAACCACCAGAAAAAAGTAGCCCCAAGAATAGATGGTTGATAGGTGGTCACCCGACTTGTTCCAATTATAGTCCTATATCCCATATATATATATACCATATCTACTGCATATATATCATCTACCATATTCCATGAATCTTCCGTGAATTTTCTCCCATGGATGGTTACAGAGCCGTTCCTTCGCTCAGGTAACGGATCTGCACGTGTCAAGCAGTCCCTTCTACAAGAGCGGTAGCACCTTTGAGGTGAAGCTAAGGAGAGCCGTCGGTCGAAAGGCGGCCCGGGCTGGTTGCTGGTGACTCGGCGCTTTTTTTTTTAAAACCATATTTTAGATAGGTTAAATCATATCCCATAGGATCCATGTAAGCTATATATGGTAACATTTACCATCAATATACCCCAAATGTTAGCATATATACCATACATGGATCCTATGGGTATAGCAATGGGTATTGTGGAACAAATCCGCATGTTTGCAGTAAAAAAACGTGATCATTTCACAGTCAAAGGTTGTGATTTAAGCAACGGAAATGGTGTCATCATGCGGAGTAGTCGCTTTGGGATAGGATTTGTCCAAGAAAATTGAAGAAAATAGGATACAACTAGGATATTATCTATGAAAATATGGAAAATAATGGGTATATGTGGGTGTATATGGGATATAATGGGTATATATGGCATTAATCTAAATGATGTTCCAATAGCTGGAAAATAACCGTAAATCTCAATGAATTCTACAGGATTCCCCAGTTTGGAATCGCTAACCTGGTCAACATAACTCCAATAACTGTTGGGTCCGAATGGCAAAACGAACTATATCGTTATAGGGTTTATACACCAACACACAGAACTGGGGGACCACGTTGTACTTAACATCTATAAACACACTTAGATATAGCAAATCATATGCTCACTGGATTGGTTTGAGGGAAAATCTACATGAAACCCTAGATTTGTCCATGAAATATGTGGGTTTCCTGTAAATTTTCCCTTGAAGCACTCCAATCATATACCCTGAGTAATTATACACCCTTGAATGCCAGTAATTCATCCTCTTGTTTGTAGTCCTACAAAGAGGGTCAAACCTTTCGAGGCCATCCCCAAAGAATGAAGATCCACCATTTAGAAATGCAATCGCGAGAAACCTATATATATATATATGTAATACTATATATAATAATAATAATACATATATATATGTAATATATATATAATAATAATATATATATATATATGTAATATATATATAATAATATATATATATATGTAACAATATATATAATAATAATATATATATATATATATAACTGTGTAACAATATATATATATATAAATAACAATCATCATAATCATAATAATAAAATATGTAATAATATTTAAATTTATGTAATAATATGTTTTAATACTATATATATATATATATGTAATAATATATGTTTATATATATGTAATAATAATATATATATAATAATATATATATATATATATGTAATAATATATATTTATTTATTTATGTAATAATATATATATATAATAATGAATATATATATATAATAATATATATGTAATAATATATATATGCAATATTTATCTATATATGTAATAATATATATATGTAATAATATATATATATATGTAGTAATATATATATATATATGTAATAATATATATATGTAATAATATATATATATAATATATATATATATATTATTATTATATATATATATTATTATATATATATATATTATTATTATATATATATATATTGTTACATATATTATATATATTATGTAATAGTATTTATATATATGTAATAATATATATATATATATGTTTATTAATATATATATATATCATAATGTTTATATATGTAATAATATATATATATATAATAATATATATATATATAATAATATATATCTATAATATATAAATATATATATATATATATGTATATATATATGTAATAATCTATATATGTAATAATATATATGTATATAAAAATAAATCTATATATGTAATAATATATATTTATATAAATATGTAATAATTATATTTATATATATGTAATAATATATACATATGTACTATAATATATATATATATAATAATATATATATATATGTGATAGCATATATATATATATAATAATATATATATATATATGTAATAAGGTTTTGGATCAAACCGCCCCACGACTTGACCAAACCTCAGCGGGTTCGCCATTCTTCAGCGCCCGCGGGAGTCCTTTTTGCGTGGACTGGAACTCCTTTTTATTTGCGATTTTACCGCTGCTGTCATTTGATTGACCACCGGTATTTGGCATTCTCACATTTCCTTCATTTGGATCTTGGACTTTCTCATTTTGCAATCTGACTATATCGGCTCGCCCTGGACACTTTACAATTTGGGATCCTCGTATTCACTTGTTTGGTTCAATATTTACAATTTACAATTTCTTTTGGCCACTGCTGTCTTTGGACCTTTGGCACAATTTTGTTTATTGACTTCGACATTGGATTTTCATTGAACCTGAAGCAGACTGCATTGGTTGGCCCTGGTCTTTCTTCTCTTCAATAATTTCCATTCACAGCGTACCATCCAGTGCCATTAGAGCCTGGTATATGTGCCCAGTTTTGATTTTTCGCATCATTGTGCTCATTGTTGTAAGTACTTTTCAAGATTCCACCCAGCAAAGATACCACCCGTCGCAAAGCCAGACGGGATCGAGCCGGTGCTCGCAGACACTGGTTCCTTTACAAGAAGGGTCGCATAGCGTTGACACCGAGTGCCTTACGCAGGATCCGGAATATCTTGAACAAGCACCACAGCAGAGACGCAAATTTCATTACGCAAATCCATTCAGCCATGAATCTAGAAGAAGATTCAGAGTATTACCCATGGCGTTGCCCATGCAGGCGGCTGAACAAAAAACATGCAGCAGAATGTGCCATTTGTTATGGTCCATGGCATGCGGGAACGCGTCATCGCACGCAACCCAAGTCGTATGCCTGGACGGAACCCAAATGGGAAGATTGGGAAGATTGGGAAGACGAGGCAAGTTGGGCCTCCAGCAGATCGACCAGCCGATCCTCCATCAGGTATCGGCAAGATGCAACAGCTACCCATTCAAATACGAATCAGCAACAACCGGTCAAGAAAGGCAAGGGAAGCAAAGGAAAAGGGAAGGGCAAAAAAGGAGGCAAAACAAGTGTTTTACAGACTCAGAGTGGACAGATGGATCAACCGTCTCCTTTTCAGAAAGAAGATGGTTTTGTACCATGGTCACAGATGGATTCTGCACAGTTTATGCCATCCACTACACTCCCTTCCAGTCCATTCGCTTCTTTGACAGCAAGCAGTTCGACCGACAAAAAAGAATGGATAGAGCATATCAAACGTGCTTATCCAGATCCGAATACTATGCCAGAAGATACAAAGATATTTCTGGAGAAAACAGAGCAAGAGACAGGAAGAACCGGAATCAAAAGCCTTCACCAAGCCACCAAGTATCTTGGAAAGGTCAAAAAGCATCTTGGAGATGTCACCGACCAACGCCGTGCTCATCGGAACCTATGGATGAACCATCTGGCAAAAGGAATCCAATTGTGGGAGAAACAGTTGGCGGATTTCCGCAAACACCAGGCGCTCTTGACAGATCAGGCTGGAAAAGCGAGAACCGAAATCTCGGCTGCCAGCCGTATCATCCAACAGTTGAGCAGTGCCACAGCTGGGGGTCTGGCGCCGCCTACACCTCTCCCCCCAGAGACAGAAGATCTCACAGACGATCCAACCGACAAGGAGGAAGAGGTCTTGCGGAAACAGTTGCAAGGCGTTTTACAGAATTGTGCGAGTTCATTAGGGCTGGACTTCGAACCATCCAGAGTGATCGAAATCAAGGAAGAGGACGAAAAAGTGGAAGAAGACAAGCGCACCAAAAGGCAGCGCTCGCAGGAGCCATCTGGAGTTGCTACCAAACAGCAGTGAGTGGGGGCCGTGTTCAAGAAGTTCATAAGAATTCTTGCCACGAGGCCATTGCTTTTCAATCCCGCGAAACAGATGTTGAGGCCTATCGTTTAGCTTGCCAGTTATCCGATGCAGCATGCAACTGTTGGGATGTCTTCTCCAAGTTTTCCACTTTCACATCACCTTGGATGCACTCTATCATGAATGAACCTCGATATGTTAGCCCTTTTCAAGCCACTCTGAACGCTATTGATTTGCAATGGGAGGTTGGTTCGGAACTCTTAGCTCATTCACAATCACGAGTTGTTCCTGAGTTTATGCCGATTTCTTCCTGCGCCCATCAGTTGACATCTCAAAGACCCCTGCCCAGACAAGTTGTACAGAAACATGTCAGGTTTGCGGATCAGATTGATGTGCTGCTTGGTGATGCCGATGAATTTCACATGCATGGGATTCAGGTCACACAACAAACTATTCTTAACTGGATTTCCAAACCATGGAGTAAAAAGAGGATCAGGAAGCAAATACTTGCCAGGACAAATTCCCATGACATCAACGAACACTGTTCTCATAAGGTTGTTTCTCTGGAACCGCTGTCAAATTTGGCCGTGTTGAGCCGAGAATCAACCCAACCTGACTTTTCATTTGGATTTCCATCTGACCAATTGAATATTGAAAGCGAGGGTGACATCCTGCATGTTATGCAACGGACTGTCACACATTCTGACACATCCGACTCTGTACATAGTCAGTTTGATCTTAGTGATCACAGTGATTCTCTTGCTCACATTCCACAAGATTGGATGCTTGATTTGCAAAGAGTTGTTGCCCGACATACTGAAGAATGTACTGCTGATCGAGATGATGAGTTTCTCTTCTCTATTTACACGTGGTATTTAGACCATGAAACCTCCAAACTGTGCAATACACCAAAGATTGCCATCCTTGGGGGAGACCCCACTGAATGGGAAGACGATATCATTTATCCTTGGCGACATAGACTCAGGGATGGAGAGAGAACGCAACTTCGCCTTGTTCAGCCTAATACACCACGTGCCAATGTTGAGGAGCATATTGCCCACATCCTGGTAATACAACGGGAAACAGATGATTCCTCAGTTCTGCTTTCCATGGAATTTCTATCAGAACATGAACACAATGTTATTGTGCGCACTGCTACTGTAGTGCCACGCAGCTGCACAGCACTTGACATTTCGGCCCTTGTTCCGATTTTCGATAGATTTTTTCCATCACGCATGACATGGGAACATCCGATCTCTAATCCAGAGG